GCTCAACCCGTGAACCTCCATCTGCCAAAAGCAAGCTTTCTGGCCCAAAGTCCTTCTCTCTAAAATTTCTCTCTAAAACTTTTCTCTAAGTTCTCCTTTTCTTCCCCCCCTCAACGCCTATTTATAGAGGTTTAGGAGTGGCCAGAATGGCCTGTTCCAAATCCGAAACGGCCCGTTCTGCACTCTTTCATCATGTGCGAAAATCACATGCAGAACGGCCCGTTCTGAAATCAGAACGGCTCGTTCTGGAACTCATCCAGAACGGCCCGTTCTCCATCCAGAACGGCCCGTACTCCAACCAGAACGGCCCGTACTCCAACCATAATGGCCCATTCTAGGGTTTAGAATGCCCTGTTCTCAACTATAATTTACAGGCCTATTTAGTAGTCTGGAACGGTCCGTTCCAGTTTGGGAACGGCCCGTTCTGGGCTACTAAATCACCCTTCTTCTAGTAGTTTGGAACGGCTCGTTCCAACTTTGGAACGCCCCATTCCAGTCTACCAATAGCGTTACAACAAGGATGAGGAACTTGGTGTATTTGGGGTTAATTCCATATTTTCAGATGCTGAATTCAACTGTAAAATAGTTGTTGAAACTATTTTCTCCTGTATCTTTTCTTCTTTCCAATTTCAAAAAGCCTTCTCAACAAATATGACATCTTGACTAATGATCACTTTGACATGGAGCTATATAACGAATAAATTTCCATCTCACGCTTGATTCTTTAAGCTTTTTTTCTGTAAGAACTTGAGCATAGTAAGCACCAAAAAATTTCAAGGTGGTTCATTGAAATCTTTCTTACACTCCATGCTTCAAATGGTATCATGTTACAAATAGTTTTTGTTGGGTATCTATTCAACAGGTATATTATTATATTAATAGCCTATAGCCAAAATTCTTTGGAGAACCTTTCTTAAACAACATGGACCTTGCCATCTCAATCATAGTTTGATTCTTCCTCTCAGATAAATCATTTTTTTGAGGAGTATAGCCAACAATCAATTGTCTATCCACTCCTTCATCTTTAAAAACATTTTAAATTCATTGGAGACATTCCTTTCCCTTGCCGCTTCTCAAGATTTTATGAACTCTTGTCACTTTGTTTCTCAATATATAAGTTCTTTAAACTTTTAAATACATCAAATATTTCAGATTTTTTTCTCATAAGACACATCCATGTCATGCAAGTCAACTAGTTAATAAATAAGATACAATACTTATTTTGAGTAAGAGAAATGGTACTCATAGGACCACATAAATCTGTTTGTACCAATTCTAACACTTTCTTGGCTCTCCTTGTTCCTTCCTTTGGGAATGGTTGGCAATGATGTTTGCCAAGCATACATCCTTAACATAATCCATTTTCTTATCAATTTTTGGTATCATAAACATCATATTCTTTTGAGAAAGCAACATAAGACCATTGTAATTTAAGTGCCCAAGTCTCTTGTGCCATAGACACGAGTTATTTTCTTTTCTTGTCATCAAGTTGTGTTTTCTCTCATAATTAAGAGAAAGTGAAAAGATTATGTTATTTGTCATTTTCACCACAACAACAATTGTTCCTTTTGAATTAAAAATGCTACATTCTCGATTCTCAAATCGAAGAAAATAGTCATGATCTGAAAGTTGTCCAATACTCAACAAATTTTCATCTAATTTTGGAACATAAAGAGTGTCATGAATCACCTTACCCCCTTGCTTTGTTATTACTACAATATTACCTTTGCCTTATACTTCAAGATATTCTTCATTGCCTAATTTAACTTTCAAGGCCAATGAAGAATCCATGTTAATAAAATTTTTTCTATCTCAAGTCATATGATTGGTGCAACTATTGTCCAAATACCATACATTCTTATGCTCTTGAGTTGTATTTTGAGAAACAAAGAATAAATTTCCTCACCATTTTCTACTTCAACAAATGAATTGTGTTGTTGATTACCAAAGTGACAATCCTTTGAACATGCTCAAACCTTTTGCAATTACAACATGTGGCTTCTCTTTATTTCAACAATCTTTTTCTTTAAAATTGTTCTGTTTACATATTCCAAACCATTTGTTTGATCCTCCATTATTTTCTCTTCTACCATAGTAGCCTTTTCTTTTTTCACGTGAGTTTCCTCTTCCAAATTTGTCACCTCTAAAAGAATCACTACTATTTGTTGACTTATCATTTTGAGATGATACCATGAGTTTGGATTGAAATATGCTTTCAACTAACTTTTCAACAAGACGTAACAATCTTTTCTCATAGGATCTAATTGACTCCATCAACCCTTGAGCAATCATGTTAACAAGTCCTTAGTTTCTTTTATGATAACCACCAAAGGTTCAACAATTCTCTGATCATCAATTGTATCTCCACGGGACTTCATTTGATCCACAAATTCAAACAATCTATTGAAGTATTCATTCAAACTTTCCTTTTCTTTATTTTTTTCTATTCTCAAAATCTCTTTTAAGAGATTGAAGTTTGACTATCCTCAACTTTGAATCTCCTTCAACCTTTTGTTGAAGAGTTTCCCATACTTCCTTTATTGTTTTTACTTTCATGATCCTTGGAAATATGGCCAATGAGATTCCCTTTTGAATCATCTCAAGAACTTAAACATCTGTGATTTTATTTTTCTTTAATGTTGCATGTTGTGCAATTGTATTGACTTGATCTTCATACCCTGTTTGTATTAGCTCTACGACATCTATAAAGGTGAACAAAATCTCCAATTTTATGACCCAAAAATAATACCTTTTTTCCTTCAAATAAAGGAACTTAATTAGACATTGGTATGAATTATGACGTTAGCTATTGGAGTCTTTTTTGTGGCCATTATTTTTCACTTTGTTTTGTTGCAAGGATATGCAACTTTGATACCACTCTATTGGTGGTATTCTAGAGACGATGTTAGTATCTAACACAAAGAAATTACTTTTTGCAAAATCCTACAAAATTGTGCACAGAAAATTTAGAATAAGAGAAAGATAATTTGGGATTAAATTGCTCTCATTTTTATTATATTTTTTCCCTAGTTTTTCTAAATGTACATTCATAAATTGAAAAAAAATAATTAGAATGCTATAACAGTTACAAATGTAAAGAGTTGCATGAATACTACTAAACACTTATGAAAACACATTGCTCAACAATTACAATTAAATATATTCTAATTTCCAAATGATACAAAAGAAAAACACATCGCTTTTATATGAATCATAGATAGAACAACAACAATAATGTGTTTTTGAAAAATGTTACTAAATTATGAGTCAATATTACTAATATACTTTTGCAACATTTTATCAAATGTAAGATAAAGCTTATGTTACTAAATTTTTTTAACATTTTTGCATATTGATGACAATATTTTAAAAATGTTATTAAAATGGTATTTCGCAACATTTTAATAAAGTTTCTAATTTTTTGTAAGTTTTATAAAATGATAATTAAATTTAAAAAAGATTATATCTATCACTTATACTTTATGTCTCTTGTCTACCAGTCTTTTAAGATTGAGGACATCTTAAATTAACTACTAACAAATCTATATCACATATCAAAATTCGCATTTATCTTAAATTTCTCTTTATGATTATAATTATATATATTATTTATGTGTCATTCTTTGTACTTGATATGAAACTTTAATTTTGAAAAACAATTGCAGATGAGAGATATATACTATTTTTATGTAGTTCTTTTATTCAATGTGGAACTTAATTTTGAAAAATAATTAAAATAACAATATTAAGATAAAAAAATATTATTCTATCTATAGTAATATTTTTTTAAAAAAATATTATAATAATTTATTAACTTAATCTATAGTAAAATTTTAATAAATATAAAAAAATAAATATTACTAAAGATGTTAAATATATTAGTGAACCAACAAAGCCCCATTGTTTGATACATGATCCTATTATGCTATGCTTGCCTACTACAAAGGAAGGAAAAGGAAAGATGTTCTTTCATAGGCGTGGAAATTCCATCAGAAACTGTCTAATCAACTAAGTTAAGGGAGAGCTTGGTAGAGGGAAAAGATTTGATTTTCCGGAAAATTTTAATTTGAGAATCAGTTTCCTGGTATATATCTATTCTTTTAGAATATTAAAAAATATTCTCGGCAAACATTGTTACTTAGAAACCATTTTTACCTCATTTTTCTAATAATCTCATTGAAACAACATAAAAAAAATTGGATTCAAATAATGATTTTGATGGCATTACTATATATGCTAAGTAATAACTTCTTGCCAGTCCACTGTGCCTATAAGTAAACAGATTATTAGAGACTCTATCATCACTACTCCAGTTCTGCAGCTAACAGGATCAATAACTTGAGGTCAATTTGACACTAACTATTTAGAACAACCATAGTGTTAATAATTTCTCGCAAGTATTTTGCATGCCCTCGAAGACGAAGATCCACTCAAATCGTGCCACACCATGTAGGTTTTCCTTTGCTTGACAGATTTAGAGTGGTGATCAGATTTGAGGGCAAGGTAGCAAATCTAAATGTACTCGTGATCCCAAACCTAGAGGGAGTGGAGCGGGAAGAAGGCTTTGAGGACAAGGACTCTGGTGTTGCATGGAGCGTAGCAATGTCATGCATAGTGGTCGACATCTTCTAGCACCACCTTACAGAAAAACTATGCATTACTTTAGTGACTAGAGCCGTAGTAAAAATTGCTTCTTTACATCAATTATAATATAACCGATGTAAAAAGTGTTTTCATTTTATATCAATGGGATTGACATCAGTCCTAAAACTGATATAAAATATTTGTTTTAATTGATGTTAAATGTTCCCTATAACACTGAATGATGTTTTATTTCTCAAAATCAAGATAAGAACAATGATCATTATACTAAAACATATAATACAAGTATTTATGAGATATTAAATAAAATATATAGACTTGTTTTTCGACTATAATAATTAAATATAGTAATGATATATAACAATGATTCGTTTGCAATCTTTATCTATGTGATACAGGACAGAAGTTGAGCTCCTTGGAGAAATCATCAATATTGTTAATCTTGTGTTGATGAGTTTGGATAAGCACCCATTTAACTTAAAAGGACTTGTGGGAGTCGACAAACCAATTCAACATTTGGAATCATTGTTATACCAAGAGTCAAAATATGTCCGTGTCATTGGAATTTGGGGTATGGGTGGTATTGGAAAGACAACTATTGCCGAAGAAATATTTAAGAAATTATATTCCGAATATGATCGGTATTATTTTCTGGCAGATGTAGATGAAGAATCAATAAGACATGGAACAATTTATTTGAAGGAAAACCTTTTCTCTGCACTACTTGAAGAAAAAGTGAAAATCAACATAGTGCATGGATTGTCAAATTATATTAAGAGAAAGATCAGTCGTATGAAGGTTTTAATCGTTCTTGATCATGTGAATGATTCAAATCTGCTAGAAAAATTGTTTGGAAGCCATGATTGGTTTGGACGAGGCAGTAGAATCATTATAACAACCAGAGATAAACAAGTTCTTATTGCTAATAAAGTTGATGATATATATCATGTTGGGGCATTGAACTCTGGTGAAGCACATGAAATTTTTACTTTGTATGCCTTTAACCAAAATCATTTTGATATGGAGTATTACAAGCTATCAAAGAGGGTGGTCAATTATTCTCAAGGCATTCCATTAGTTCTTAAAGTTTTGGGACATCTTCTTTGTGGGAAAGATAAGGAAGTATGGGAGAGTCAACTAGACAAACTAAAAAACATGCCAAATAGAGATATTTACAATACAATGAGATTAAGTTATGATGATCTAGACCGCAAAGAACAAAAGATTCTTTTGGATCTTGCATGTTTTTTTATGGGATTGAATTTGAAAGTGGACCGCATAAAAGTTTTATTGAAAGATAGTGAAAGAGATGTTTCGGTAGTTGCTGGATTAGAAAGGTTGAAAGATAAAGCTCTTATAACCATTTCTGAAGATAATGTTATATCCATGCACGATATCATACAAGAAATGGCTTGGGAGATTATTCGTCATGAATCCATTGAAGAGCCTGGAAACCGTAGCCGATTGAGTGATCCTCATGATATTTATGAAGTATTGAAATATAACAAGGTGGGAAATGCCTTTTATAAGATTAATTTTTATTTTTTTTTGTGGGAAATGTAGCTTCTAATGATGTTTAAATATTTCTGTTACTGTAATGGCAGGGAACTGAGGCCATAAGAAGCATAAGGGCAGATTTGTCAGTAATTAGGAAGCTGCAGTTAAGCCCTCACGTATTTACTAAGATGAGTAAACTACAGTTTTTGTATTTTCCTAGTAAATATAATCAAGATGGCTTTTCTCTTCTTCCTCACGGGCTTGAATCTTTTCCAGTTGAGCTAAGATATCTTGGTTGGATGCGTTACCCTCTGAAATCCTTGCCAGAGAATTTTTCTGCTGAAAACCTTGTTATATTGGATTTGTCATATAGCCAAGTGGAGAAACTTTGGAATGGAGTGCAGGTAGACAAACATGTCTTTGTTATAATTCTCCTAATTCTAGGAATACAAAATTTACAACTAAAGTACTCCACTCACATGTTTTCGTTTGTATTATTTTGTCACAGAATTTGATGAATTTGAAAGAAATTAAAGTCTCTGGTTCTGAAAATTTGAAGGAGCTGCCAGACCTTTCAAAAGCCACAAATCTTGAAGTGCTAGATATCAAATTTTGTCCTCTGTTGACTAAAGTGGCTCCATCTATTCTCTCACTCAACAAGCTTGAGAGATTGTATCTAGCTTTTTGTTCCCTTACTAAAATTTCAAGCGAGAACCACCTAAGGTCCCTTAGTTATCTCAATCTTCAATCATGCAAAAAACTAAGGGAATTTTCAGTGACATCAGAGAACATGATTGAACTTGATTTATCATCAACTCGTGTCAATGCCTTGCCCTCATCTTTTGGAAATCAAAGGAAGCTCGAAATCCTGTGGCTAAGAGACAGTGGCATCGAGTGTTTTCCTTCAAGCTTCAAGAATCTTTCAAGACTGCGACATCTGAATGTATATAATTCCAAGGAGCTTCATACTCTAACAGAACTTCCCCCATCCCTTGAAATTCTAGATGCCACAGATTGCACATCATTGAAGTCTGTGCCATCAATTTCTGAACAGTTCAATGAAAACAGGAGAGAGGTTCTATTTTGGAATTGCTTGAAATTGGATGAACATTCTCTCAAGGCTATTGTGTTCAATGCACACATTAATGTGATGAAATTTGCATATCAACATTTATCTGCACCTGATCAAAATTCCGATGATTACGATCATACTTATGAATCTGATCAAGTAAAGTATGTGTATCCAGGAAGTAGTGTTCCACAGTGGATGGAGTATAAAACAACAAAGGATTATATAATTATTGATCTCTCTTCTACTCCACACTCCTCTCAGTTAGGCTTCATTTTTGGCTTTGTTATCTCTGGTCCTATGGTGAAGGCAATAATTGGTTATAGATTTACGTTTTATATCACTGTGAATGATGATGAGGATGAAAGTAAAAAGAATACTATCGACATAAACATGTCTGACTCAATTGTTTGGGTTGCATCGGATCATGTGTGTTTGATTTATGACCAAAGATGTTCTCACTACCTAAACAGTAAAGCCAAAAATCAAACAAGGTTTAAAATCAAGGTTGAAGCGATGGCAGCTGCGGTAGCTCATCAACGGGACGTGGGGTTAAAAGGGTTTGGAGTCAGCCTAATAAACACCATAGCATATAACAATTTCATTCAAGAAATGAACACCTTATCAGATCATAGTTTCATTCAAGAAATAAACTCCTCAGCAGATCGTAGTTTCATTCATCAAGTAAACACCTCAACAGATCACAGTTTCGTTCAAGAAATAAACACCTCAGCAGATCACAGTTTCAATGTTCAACAAATGGAAGTGTCTGCTCATATGTATTTCATTCCAATGCTTCCTATCATCCTGCTGACATCCTTCTTGTTGTTAAGACGCAGACTTTGCTTTAGAAACAAGTTTTTCTAAGTAAATTCTTGTTGTAGTTATACTGTAGACCTGCTGAGTGCTTATACAAACAACAATAAGATTCATTGATATTTCCCACGTGGAGATGTACGTTGGAAATCGAAAAGAAAATGTAAGAAGATAATGAAATGAAAAACTGGAACTTACACTTCCCTTCATATCACTCTTTTAACTTCATTCCAATTGTGTTCAACTTAATTTGTATTAAGTGCAACATAACACCCACCGATATGTTTATGTCCTACAAAACACTACGTGGGACATCTAATATAGCAAAATTATGCAATTAGAATTCATTTGATTACCATAAACGATGCCAACATCAATTTGGCACAATAATTAGTATTACCCAATGGGCTGGTTAATGGAATTCTAAGTTAGAGCAGCACATAACGTATATTTGCCCCCACGATCATAAAAAACATCGACACATTTTTAACTAGTATTTTATCACGAATGTACAGATTAAATATTTATTATATATAATTAAAATTTATAATAAATTATATATAAATAAATATAATATTTGAATATATAAATTATATTTAAAATTTATATAAATAAATATTTTAATTATATAAATTACTCTCACTATCAGTTTTCCAATTCAACCCAAGTAAGATTACAATTCACGAAGGCTACATGTGATGTATGCGAAAAAAAAAAACTGTCTTATCATGTTATTTTAAAAAAGAAATATTATTTTATTATTTTCTGAGTAGCTAATAAATAAATATTTTAATTATATAAATTATATTTTAGATTTATGATAAATAATTTATAATGTATCACAATATTAAATTTATTTATTAATAATTTATTTAAAAAATATTAAATTTTAATTTATAAATAATTATAATAAATAAAAATTAAAAAAGATAAAATGTTAAAAAAATATTTAAAAATTCTCTCGTTGAAGAAAAATAACTAAAAGTACTATGATGCAAGATAAGTGTTAGTGTTTAATATATAGAAGTTAAATGTTTATTTTAAATACTAATACTCATTTATTTGTGAAAAATATTTATTATCTATCTTATACTTATTAACTATTAATAATAAAATAAAGAAAATAAATTACCATCTTTACGTAAACACATAATTAATTATTTAAATTATATTTTATATAATACTATATAAGAGATTTTTTTACACAAATAATACTATTTAAATTTTTTTTTATCCAAATAGCAACTGTGCAAATTTATTTCCCTAACTAGTACCATTTATTATTCACATTTAGAACGGGCCGTTCTGAATCAGAAAAGGGTGTTCCGGATTAAAAAATAACACATAGAAAATGGATCAGAACAAGTTGTTCCAAAATCAAAATTAGCACATAAAAAGTGAAATTAGAACGGGCTGTTCTGCATCCAAAACGGGCCATTTTGGCCTATAAATAATTTTTTTTGTTCGATTTTTGCTTATCAAATACAAAAACTCAGAAACTAACATTAAATAATTAAATTTATTGAATATTAACATTATAAATATATCTAAATAAATTTATTAAAATTCGATACAACAATAAAGATCAATGGTGGCAGAAATTGATTATGTTATTTTTTAATGTTCATCTCTGTTTTAATCCCACTGAACTTTGGCTGACTCTTGAAAGTTCGCTTGAGTTCTAGATTTGGCCACAAAGTTGGACCAGTGTAAGTAGGTCATAACTTGCCGCAATCATACCACATTTCATTTAGCCTTACTGTAAATCTCCCAGCGGGTCAAACTTCTCTCGGATGTTGCATTTTTTTCAACTTTGTGGCCAAATCCAGAACTCAAGAGAATTTTCAAGGGTCGGCCAAAGTCTAGTAGGATTAGAACAGAGATGGATATTAGAGAACAACATAATCGTGTAAAAAATTGTTCCTATTGTCACACCCCTGGTCACACTAGGAAGACATATCCAAATATTGGTCATGAATTCAGTTTTCGCCACCATTAATCTTTATTATTGTATTTAATTTTAATAAATTTATTTAGATATATTTATAATGTTAATATTCAATAAATTTAATTATTTGATGTTAGTTTCTGAGTTTTTATATTTGATAAGTGAAAATTGAAAAAAAAAATTTATTCATAGTCCAGAACGGCCCGTTCTGGATGCAGAACAGCCCGTTCTGGATGCAGAACGGCCCGTTCTGGTTCCACTTTTTATATGTTAATTTGATTTTGGAACGGTCCATTCTCATCCGTTTTTCATGTGTTATTTTTTAATTCGGAATGGCCTGTTCTGATTTCAGAACGGCCCGTTCCGAATTGGAAAAATAAATTTGCACGGTTGCTATTTAGGTAAATTTATTTTAAAATAGTATTATTTGAGTAATAAACTCCTATATAAGATGATAATTTTATATAATTTCTTATTTAATAATTTTGTAACTATATCTGTCTTTCTTACATCGCAGGCACATTTTACAGACCAGTTAAAAGCTCCCGCTCAAATAGCACAAATTTTACATTGGAAATCTATTTGGCTTTTCTCCATGTTGCAATATTTCAACTTAGTCTAATGAACAATTATATGCAGCTAATATATACAAAGACAGTAATAAGTTTTATTTTACAAGTTTGCTAATGAAAGGAATTCATTTCAAATGTAAGTTCAGATCATGAATGACATTATGTTACATATTGTTAAAATAATTTATTTTATATATTTTCATCTTTATGAGTCATCAAATCAATAGATATTAAAGAAATAAGCTTGACAATAGATTAATTAAATACGGAAGTTGAGACCACTGTTGCAGCCTAATCAACCAATCCATAGAGAAATTTCATCAAAGGAAATAATATAATGCCAAAACAAACAAAACAGGAAAAAAAGAAAAACAAAGATTCTTTCTACCACCATCATCATCAACATTATCTCTGTATATATGTAAACCGTCCAACTTTCGGACATGCACATGATTAGTTATTGTGAATTTTTTCCTGTCCATTGAACAATTTTTTTCTAAAATTCTGCATAATAGTTGATTGTGTTGAACCATTTTATTTCCAATGGTTTTGTTTCCCGTTCAAAGCGCAAATTTAATGCTCTAGTTGATTGTAAAAAAAAAAATAAAGTCAGAATAAAAGCAAATTATACATCAATAACTTAATGGTGTGTTTGGATGGAGAATTTATATAGGGTAATTCACTTATTTGAAGAATTTCAAATTTTTTGAGGTGAAATACTTTGTTTGGATGGAAAATTTACAAAGAATTTGAAATCTAAGCATTTGTGAAATTCTTTAAAATAGTATAATTTCAAATTCCCCCAAAAAAGTAAGAATTTAAAATTATTTATTTTTCTTATTTCACCTATATATTTTAACTTATTTCTTCATTCTTTTAATTATTGAATATTGAAAAATATTTTAAAAATTATTAAATTTTATCTAATATCAATTTTTAAAATTATTAAATATTTAAAAATGAATTAATATTTATTTTTATAAAATTTATCAAATTCTTTGAGGTGAAATACTTTGTTTGGATGGAAAATTTACAAAGAATTTGAAATCTAAGCATTTGTGAAATTCTTTAAAATAGTATAATTTCAAATTCCCCCAAAAAAGTAAGAATTTGAAATTATTTATTTTTCTTATTTCACCTATATATTTTAACTTATTTCTTCATTCTTTTAATTATTGAATATTGAAAAATATTTTAAAAATTATTAAATTTTATCTAATATCAATTTTTAAAATTATTAAATATTTAAAAATGAATTAATATTTATTTTTATAAAATTTATCAAATTCTTTGAGGTGAAATACTTTGTTTGGATGGAAAATTTACAAAGAATTTGAAATCTAAGCATTTGTGAAATTCTTTAAAATAGTATAATTTCAAATTCCCCCAAAAAAGTAAGAATTTGAAATTATTTATTTTTCTTATTTCACCTATATATTTTAACTTATCTCTTCATTCTTTTAATTATTAAATATTTAAAAATATTTTAAAAATTATTAAATTTTATCTAATATTAATTTTTAAAATTATTAAATATTTAAAAATGAATTAATATTTATTTTTATAAAATTTATCAAATTCTTTGAGGTGAAATACTTTGTTTGGATGGAAAATTTACAAAGAATTTGAAATCTAAGCATTTGTGAAATTCTTTAAAATAGTATAATTTCAAATTCCCCCAAAAAAGTAAGAATTTGAAATTATTTATTTTTCTTATTTCACCTATATATTTTAACTTATCTCTTCATTCTTTTAATTATTAAATATTTAAAAATATTTTAAAAATTATTAAATTTTATCTAATATTAATTTTTAAAATTATTAAATATTTAAAAATGAATTAATATTTATTTTTATAAAATTTAATTTAAAAGTCTCAACATATAAATATATTTTTAAAATCAATTTTACTATGGTGGAATCAAATTATCATATTTAACCTAACAATTTAAAATTGAAGAAATTTGAATTAACTTCCCAAACAAAATATTTTAAGAATGATAGAAATTGAAATCAAAGTAATTCAAATACTAAGAATTTAAAATTTCTTGAATTTATAAAATTTCTCATTCAAAAACACTATGAATATTTATCAACTAGATCTACTTAAAGCAAATTATATACTTTTGTCTAAATCAAATTATTAATCTTTAACCGCAAAAAGGGATATACATAGGATGATAGCAAACAAACCACAATTCCATTTGCTCATATAATCGAAGAATTCCATTTCTTGAACAAAACTGTGATATATTAGGCTGACTCCAAACCCTTTTAACACACCTCTGTTTTATATCTGAAATTACTGGGTTGAGCCTTTGCGGAAACCTTGATTTCAAATGCTGTCATATGTTTGGCCTTGCTATTCAGGTACCAAGAACATTGTTGGTCGTACATCACAAACACATGATCCGATGCTATTCTAAAAATTGGCCTTTCCATGTCTAATGTCATGCTTCCCATTTCACATTCATACTCGGTACTCACCATTAGTTATAGTAATGTTAAATTCCAAATTTTCACCAAGTTCTGAGTCCTTGACAACAATGAAGCAGAAAATGAAATCCAACTGAGGTGAAAGTTGAGCAGAAGAGAGATCAATAACTATATAGATTCTGTTTAGATAAGTCTAGATATATTTTTAAGAACTTCTTTATTAGAAATAA